TCGTACTAACTGCGCCCATCGGACCGGCCCATTAATGGTCCGGCCCAGCGGGATTCGTCCCGATTGTCCCGATTACCCACTCCGTCCTTGCCTGTGGCAACAAGAAGCTCAGTGCCCCTCACTTGGACATGGGTAACCAAGGCCCTACTGGAGCCAGGCCTGGGGGGAGTGGCTCATTGGTGAAAGACTGTTGACAGGGCCTCTACCCATGGGGGTTGGTCTGCCTCAACACAAATGTGTTAAGGTTCGTGTTTTGAGCTCTGAATGAATACCGAACAACGACAAAGTTTTAACAAGTTTATCGTTAGAATTTTTAGTTGGAAGACTGGAACCAGAATCCGGGGTCTTCAGTTCTGGACACAGAATCTCAAGGTTAGGTTTGGTTTGGAACACGATATAGTTTGTGAGAAAAAAAGATCACCAACCTTTACTGTTGAGATGAGGACCAGGTAGAAACAACAGCAGGAGAGCTTCGGTTCTGGGCTGTGTTGTCGGAAGGAGTGAATGGATCGCTGGACTAACTCGTGGTCAGAAACAGGGCAAAGGTCATGCACGGGTGATCAGAGGACGTTACCAAGTTTGAGGGAGGTGACTGAGCCGATGATCCAGAGACGCGTTCCAAGGTCGAGATCCGAAAGGTCCGATGTGGCGCGGTGCCATTCAGGGAGCAGGCGAGAGACAAAAATCCAAGGGACAGAAAAAAGGTCGTTACCATGAGAGCAGATGGCAGGAGGGATCCGACAGGGGCTGAGGCAGGAGACGTGGAACCAGGAGACATGAGCAAGGTCGGGGACATGAGGCAAGAGCAGGACAAGGGACAAGAATCGGGAGAATCACAGACAGGGCTGATGATAATCTGGCGGTGAGCCGGAGAGTGAGGCTGAGTTAAATACTGCTGGAAACAGGTGAGTGAAAGGAGCTCGATTAGAGTTTCTGTGACGGGAGGGGTGAGAGCAATGAGTAGGTGCTGAATGTAAACTGAAAGGCTGGGAACAAGACTATGACTGGAACAAGAAATGAAATAATAAAACTAAACTGAGGCTGGATCAGGACAGACCGTGACAGAATCATAACAAAATGAGCTACATGGGTTTGCCTTTCTTGGGGCCGCCACCTGCAATAGGGCCTATGAGTAGCAGCTGAACGAGGGGTTCCATGGCATTTTGACCCTTTTGTATCTGACATTTGGACCATGCAGTGTCACATCTCTGATGGGGAAGGTGCCTGTATTGTGCATGAGGTAGCGAGGTACAGGCTAGACATGGTTTGGTTCACTTTAACACATGATATGGGATCTGGAACCAGTCTCCTGGAGGGGAAGGATTGGGAGTAACAGTTTTTTTCTGATTTGAACATGAGCTGGATTCTGTTGTTGGACTTCTGTGCTGTTAGGGTTTGTCTTAAACAAATACCATGCATCCATAAGTGCACATGGCATCAGGACAGCCTAGTTTGCAAATCTGTGGTAGACTTTTTAGCACTTTCTGTTGTCATCTGATCTGTGGCTGTGCTTTTTGACATTTGGGCAACGAGAGGAGTTGAGCTGTCCACTAGTTGGATCAGATGATGGGGAAAGATGCTGGACAGACCTGTAGATCCAAATGTATAATAAGAGTTTGTTGGGAGGAAGAGCCTGTCAGAAGGATCTTCAACTACATCCCATCCAAGGCAGAAGTCATTGAGTCCAAGCAGGTGGAGTTCTGTCACCATTCAGGAGCTGCCCTGAGCTGTGGTCACTAGGTTTTTGGTACCTCTTGTTGTGGCCGTTCTCAGACCTGGTGGTGGACTACTCAGTTGAGGGAAGCCGTTGTGATGGAAATAATACTTTTAGGTTTAAGCCAGTAATTCATGACATACTTTAATGACCTAAGCTTTCACGACATGCTGCTCATCAGTGATTATAACCAGAACAAGGTTTGCTAACAACAATCATTCTTAGAAATTACTTGTGTTTATCTTTGTGTTTTCTGTTGACCCAGCATTTCCTTAGGATGAAATCTTGCTTTATTAAGATGACATAATGGTGTTTGTTAAACATATATGAGGCCTCTAATGCCTCAGAGGAGGTGAAGCAGGAGCAGAGAACAGGGGGACAGTCTGATGACTCTATGTTGTTCTCTGTGTTCCTGTTGTTGCAATAAAACTCAGCTGATAATTCTACGGAGTGCCTTCATTCTTGGACCACGTATTTCTGTCTTTGTTAAATAAATATTTCCATAACACCATCTAGTTTAAAGGGGCTTAATGGGTTTTATTAGCTGGTAGGACTCCAGATTCCTTGCAGGTTCATTCCCTGCTGTGGAACATTGATTCTGGGGGTCTTTAAGAGGGTATAGGGGTTTGCCTAATTCATCTACAAGTGTTTTGTGTCCCCAGGATACCCTGTGGGTGTTGCTTTATGAGTACGGGTTTAGGGTGTGTTGTTACAGGTTATATTCAGTCTCTATACAAACGGTTTGGGTCTGGTTTGAATGCTGGCAGTAAATCAGACCTCTTTAGGGTGAGAGTCAGACACTGGCAAGGCTACCTGTTGCCACCAATTCTGGCAGAAAGGGTCCAGTTTGGTGATGTCTGATTCTGTATTTGCTGTTTGAGGATGATGACGTCTATTTGCGTCATTGTGCCATGATCTTCAGCTGTCAATGGTGTGGTCTGCAACCAAGTGTGAAGGATCAGCACCTCCAAATCGGAGGCCGTGGTCCTCAATTTGAAAATGGTGCACTGCTGTCTTTGAGGAATAAGATGCTACTTTCCTTCCCTTATGGTCACAAACTTTTGACAGTGACCAGAAGAACAAAATTAGACATTGGACACGGTCTGACTGGTACAGACCTACAACACACAGGAGGAACTATGTCTATTGGCTGGTCTGGGATCATCTTGGAATCCTCTCAGAAGACCTGGAGTGGATCGCTGTGGAAAGAGATTTCTGGACTTCCCTGTTCAAGCTGTTGTTCCTGAAACTTTGAAACACACAACAGACGATGGATGTATGCACGGATGGATGAAAGGATGGACGAACGGATGGATGGATGGATGGATGGATGGATGGATGGATGGATGGAT